TTATTCTTAAAATATTTTGACTAATATATAACTATTGATTATTTTTTATAATTATAATTGTTTGTAATGATAAATATTACTTAATAGTAAACATTTAAAAATCTTTAGAAAGTGATTTGATAATTTATTAATCATATATAATATATAAGAATAAAATATTAAATTAATTAATCCATGTATTTTTCGTTGTTTATAAATAGTTGTTTTTGAAGCTCTACGTTTCCTTTTTTTAATATATCTGTACAGGTAGCAATATTTTTATACATCTCATCTATACAAAATAATAGATTACTGAATTATTATTTTCATTTAATTAAAAAATTCATAAATAATACTTTATTTACCACAGAAAAATGTATGACTTTTTCCTGATCCTCCAGCTTCTATCGGTAAAATGTTTTTTGGTATATAATTAAATATTTCTTCTGAATCAACCGGATAAAATTTAATCTAGTTAAATTGTAATTATACTTTAAGAAAATTATATTAAATAAACTTTTACTATAGGTTTATTTATTTGAATTATCTATATTTATACTAACTTAAAGTACTAAAACAGATAAATGAATATGCTAAAAATAATACTACTTAAATTGTATTTTAGGTGAAATTGCAACTATTTGTCACAATTTAATATTACTAGATAAAATGAAGTATGTTTAATGAACATTATAAATAACAATTGTGAATCCATAATCAGATTATAGAATATATTGTTTTGCTTACTTTTTCCATCAATTCCTTATCTATGAATGGTGTTAGCATTTTGAATAACATGCTGATTGCATTTCCTGAGTTAATAAAATAAATTGACTTAATTTGAATCGGAATTCCTCTCTAAAATATTAAAGAGTTCAAGTGTATTTTTTGGAATGTATGTCCATAATAATTTATACTGACAAAAATTAATTATTCATGTATTATTAAGTACTTATGTAACTACATGTATATGTTCATAATGTTGCGACTATTAATTGTATTTTTTTTAAATACTGAAGTAATATAGTAATATACTTAAGTAATAAATCAAAGGCCCAATATTTTTTAAACGATTTTTTACTTACTTGAGCGTACACGAATAACTCTCCCATTATAGAAATGGGTGTTTTCATAACATGACGCCATGAAAGGCCTGATGTGTTAACAACAATCACTAATCCATCAAAAGTACCACAGTGCAATAATTTATATTCTAGCCACATGTGAAACAATTTAATAGGAGATAAACAATCGTACAATTTTATGTCAGGATCTTTGAATTGCCAATATACTATACATTCACCTTTTCCAGAACACTTTAAAGTCAAATCACCAAAGCTTCTAATTAAAAAATAGAATCAATAGAACGATTACAATTTCCATATTTATAAATTTATCACATGAAATCATAAAAAGTTGGAGTCATGATGATTCGAGTGAAATTTAATGTTGTCTCTAAAAAGTTACGTATATATATTGTATATAGACTATATTGTTAAAAAAAATTATACTTTCATAAATATTTGAAAGAAATGAATATAAGTTAAGGCAATATTATAAAAGCAATTCTTATAAAACTTATTAGCAATTCAAAATTGCTAAAATGCTCAGAATCTATGATATTATTTGGATTATTATTTTAAGTAAATTAATTTTATAGTGCTTTGTAATTACTATCTATCAATATACAGACATTGTATATAGATATTGTGAGGCATTCTGTATTACTGGGTGTATTAATTTGTTTTGACATCATTAATAACTTTTAATCTAGCAAATATTTTGAAATACTATTATTTAAATAATTTTTACAGTTTTGGACTATGTTTAGAGAAGTCCAGAGAAACATTTAAGAGCTGAAATATGGCTTTAAATGTTGTTATCGGCCTGTCATTTCTTTAGTTTGATCATTTTCTATTATATGAAATAGTTAACTATGTATATTACAATTATAAAAAATCATAATTATTAAAAAAACTCATTTTATCATATATATATATTATTATTGCATTAGACTTTATAAGTATATCATAAATTTCTATATGTGTAATAATTCAGAATTAAGATTTTTTACTTGTAATTTTATAAGATAAAATTTTAATATTTGGATAATAACTAACATCAACATATTTATGTTTGTTTTAGATATTGTGACGAAGATAAATTTTAGGGATTTGTGCTAATATAAAATCATTTTGTTTATTTGAAGGAGTACAAAGTCCATTTTGATTTTCTGTTGCACATTATTTAAATTAAAAAAACACGTTAAATGAAAAAAAAAATATTATAGATTTAGTTTTTGATATTCTTAAAATCGAAATTGAAAAAAGGAAAATCCCATATTAATAATATAGAAATATAGATTTTTGTTATTCTTAAAATTTTATATTTTGGGACTGTAATTTATTACTCTCTATTTATGACGTACTGTAAAAACATTGAATAATATTAAAAATATAATAAATAGAAATTCCTTCAAAGATATGAAAAAAACATTACAAGGGACCCTTATAAATATAATTTTGGTATTACGAGGTTGTATATAATTTCTTTATCTCAGGAGATAACGGATCAAGGTTACAAAATATTTCCGGTATTTTCAAATAGCATTTGTAGCAGTTGATAATTGTAAATTTAGCTTCTTCTAGGTTAAAGTTAGTGCATTGAAGAAATGCAATAAGCTTTTTGTCTGAAAAAAAAAGATAATATTGTCATTAAAGAAATGTACTAATAATAGTACTTCGATTTTAATTATATACAATATAGACTGTTTTTATTTAGTAAATTACTCATAAAAATCTACCAAAAAACTAAAATAACGAAAACAATACCTGATATTGGTGGCAATTGTGTTTCATTGTCAATGCTTTCTTTTAGTTTATAAATATCCTCTAGCTTGAGTTGAGGATATTTTTTTTGCTCTCCTTCAAAATATTCTTCAAATGTTGTTGTTAAGCTATACATTATGAAAATGAATACAATTGACTTTAATTTTTTAATTTTATTAAAATTTATTATTATTGGAAATTGAATGTATATAAAAATGTATAATGTAAAGATGGTTTTTGATGACAAATACAAGTAACTACTGATGAATGGAAAGCATATTTATTGAATGTTAATTTTAAATCTAAAATAAAATAAATTTAAAAATATAATTAATTTCATTAAAATACAATAAAAACCTGTCATGAGACTTATAGAATACCTAAAATATGATTAATGTTTATACTTTAATAATGAAATGACCATGAAATATCAGTGTTATAAGAATAATTAAATTTAAAATTTCACACACCAGGTATAATTAATTTACTACTCATTAATAAAAATGATTTATATTGAATAGCTCGTGGTAAATGTAATAATAGATATTTAAATAAATTTTTAAATCTTAATACATAATATAACATTGAAAAATAAGCTAAAGTTGGAAAAATCACTTAACGACGTACGATTCTCAAAATGTTTTTTAAATGAAAGTGCTCGATAACGTTATTCTAGGAAAATTATTTGTGAAGATAAGTTGTCATTTTGAATCGCCCCTGTTGTCATCCCCAAGTTAAAGGTCAGATTTTCAAAGAAATATATACCAAATAATAGGTAAAATCAAGTGTATCTAGAAAAAAAAATTGTTCCTATTCATCTATTTTTTAAAAAGTTATGGCAGTTTTAAGAAAAAAAAAATTGAAAAAATATCAAAAACAACTGATTTTTAAATTTGTAATTTTCTCAAATTTTTGAGGGTAATATTTTCAATTAGATACGAATTGTAATCATTCGACGTATCATTAAAAAAAGTGAGTCAAGTGAAAGCGGAGAAAATGAATGATAGTCACAAAAAAAAAAAAAACCAATAGTAAAATAATTTTAATATGAATAAGAAATTTCTTTTCACGAAGGGAGGCTACAGTGATGGAATCCTTGACATTTATTGAAGTTATTGAATCTAATGAGATAAAAATTAAATGAGTTGAAAATATGTAGAATCGTATTTTAATTCATATACTTATTAAAAATATATCACCAAATCAGTGTTCCCTCGTTGATAAGATGAATAAAAACAATCCTCTTACACATTCCATAAAACTCCCACGTAAAAGATTCTATCACATTGACCAATCAAATACAACAAAAAATCTTAAGAATCTCACCAGAGATCGCTAAACCAGATTTTCTGACTTGAGAAAAACTGGTTTATAAAAAGGCATTTTTTCTAAAAGAAGTACTACTTTGCTCTGCTCTTCTCTTTAGTTCCTGGTCAATGTTCACACACATAGTATCTGCATCAACGTATTTACGTAACGTAGTTACAATTCTACATTAGATCTACATTATTTTACATTCTATCTTTTAGTCACTCAGACTTTGAAGAAATATTATACATTTTATTTTGAAGCCTACCACTTTTTAATGATACAAAGATTTCAACACATAAAATGTATTGGTATTTGAATTATTTGTATTTTATTATATACCTTAACACATAAAAACTTGATTAGATTACATTGTGTCCTATTACTTATTGAAGCGTCATAACCTGGCTGGATAGAGTACAAGCATAATAATATTGTAGTCAAGGTTTTAACTATTTATAAGTGTTCTCTAATGTGTTTCTCTACTTGTCGACCAGCCTGTCTGATCTCTGCCACAGTGTGGGCAATCGGAGTATAGGACACTTACATAACTCATTACGCATTACTTACCTATATTTTTTATTATAAACCTTACACGTTTTAAAATAAATTTTTCCCTGTAGATAGGGGATAAGAATACTTCCAATGGCCCCTCTGCTAGTCGTAAGAGGCGACTAATGAGGTTGCGTCAAGTCAACAGCCGACGTAAAATTTTTCTCAGATAGTATAAGGTGTTCTGAACAAAACTTAGGCGAATTGTCCTATCTCAGATGTAGGCGGGGACAATAGGTGAGAGGGAATAAAGTAATTAAAAACGGAGAAGGCCTAAGGAATAAAGTGTTTGATACCAGCCCGACAAGTTGTGCAGTAGTTGTTTCATCAGTCATGTTTACAGGTCTACGCAACGCTTGTAGTGTAAACGGTGTAGGGATATCACCACTTAACTCTAGGCTGGACTCGTGTATAAGGGAGAAAGATAGATACAAAGGAAGAATAGGTACTTGGAATGTTGTAACATTAACTGGTAAAAGTAGAGAATCAGTAGAAGTATTGAAGAGGAGAAAAGTTAACATTTGTTGTGTGCAGGAAACTAAGTGGAAAAGGGACAAATGGAGGGAAATAGGTGAGGGTTATAAAATAATATACTCAGGTAAGTCTAGTACAAAGAATGATGTAGGAATAATAATGGACGAGGAGATGAAAAGTAAAGTAGTAGAAGTAACTAGAAATAGTGACAGAATTATAGTCGTAAAATTGATATTTGAGAAAAAAGTGCTGAATGTAATAAGTGCCTATGTACAACAAGTAGGATGTGATGAAATAGACAAGGAAGTGTTTTGGAGAGAGATGGATGAGGTAATGCAAGGGTGTCCTGACAATGAGAATGCGATGATAGGTGGAGATATGAATGGACATGTAGGTAATGAGAGGAGAGGATATGAAAGAGTACATGAAGGGTATGGTTTTAGTGGGAAGAATGAGGCTGGAAAAAGAATCCTGGATTTCGCAGTATCATATGATCTTGCTGTGATTAATACTTATTTTAGAAAGAGGGAAGAACATTGTATAACTTATAAGAGTGGGAGGAATAGATCACAGATCGATTATTTTATCTGAAAGAGAGAGAGCGTAAAGCGAGTAAAAGATTGTAAATACCAGGCGAGAGTGTAACTACACAACGTAGACTGATGGTAATGGAGTTGTGGTGTACTAGAAAGAGAATATATAAAAATAGAAGGAACACGGGTGAAAAATCTAAGATCCGATGGTAGAAATTGAAAGGGGAAAATGAAAAAGAGTTTGTAAAGACGGTAAAAGAGAGGACGGTGTGGAATGTGGAGGGAGACATAATTGATTTGTGGAATAGATATGTCGAATGAAAGAAGTATATATATAGCATTTATCATAAAATTTTAGAAATATAATATATAAAATCGAGAATTTTAACACAAAAATAGTATATTTTTGAATAATATAGCCATTTTCACCATAAAGACAACATTTTTTCTCATATTAAAGCGCATTACATAGTCTTTAATTTAAAATATATAGAGAAGTTTCAGTATTTCTCGAAAACTTTTGAAAGTTAAGTTGAAAAATTTCTACTTTTTTTACTCAAGTTTAAAATTTGACCCCTTTGTATGAAGGGATATAATTCGATTTAGAAAAAAAGTAGGTATAATAAAATGAGTATATAAAAAATATTAATGAAAATAAAAGAAGGCATAGTTGGATCAATTATAATGATATCTGACAGTGATTAAAATCACTATCATAAAAAACGCTTCGATGCAAATTTATAGATAGTGTTTAATTTTAAAAAATTGGTAAATTATTCCAAAAGCTACATGATCTGCTATTTTCTTATTAATATCCTGAATGAAAAAGGGATTATTAAAAAATATTATTTCTCATAAAAAAATTGTATTGTCCTTTTACACTTTTCAATAAGTTATAGCATTATAAAGTTAAAAATGTAAAAGATAAAATCAAGAATTTTCACACGAAAACAGCATTCGGTAGCCATTTTCCCCACGAAGACAAGTCCAGAAGTCAATTTTTTTTTTTCATAATAAAGTACATTACATTAGCTTTAATTTAAAAATATATAGAAGTGTCAGACTTTTCCAACCGGAAGATTTTCAAAAGTCAAGTTGAAAAAGTTCTACTTTCTATATGATTTTTTATGTTTATTTTTATGGCAACAAATGCTATTTTTGTGTGAAAATTCTCGATTTTATTTTTTACATTTTTAACTTTATAATGCAAATAATAACTTATTGAAAAGTATATGGATCAACCCATTTTTTTTATGAGAAATAATAATTTTTGATAATCCCTTTTTCATTCGCACATACTTTATCTAATCAAGATATTAATAAGGAACTAGCAGATCCTGTAGCTTTTGGAATAATACACCAATTTTTTAAAATTAAACACTATCAAAAGATTTGCATCGAAGCGTTTTTTTTTATAGTGATTTTAATCACTGTCAGATATCATTATACTTGATCCAACTATGCCACTTCACCATTGTGTTCGACCTTCCTGTGCTGGGTTTTTTTTATTAACTTTGATGACTGTTTTCACCATGAAAACAAAATTAAGTCCGAATTTTTTTTTTTTTAATATTTAAGTATATTACATAAGTTTTAATTTAAGATATATATAAAAGTGTCAGTATTTCCGGAACACTTTCAAAAGTTAAGTTGAAAAAATTAATTTTTTGTGAAAATGTTGTCATTTTGAATCCCCCCCTGTGGGCTGGTATAGGGTTGAATTTATAAAAAAAATATACCACAGCATCTATAAAAAAAAAAATCTACAGATTTGCATTGAAGCGTTTTTTACGATAGTGATTTTAATCACTGTCAGATATAATCTATACTGGACCCAACTATTCCATGTCTCCATTGTGCTGGGTTTTTTATTATAATAATAGTAACATATTTGAAATTTTCCACCATTTAAGGGAAACCAGTGAAAATTTTCAATTTTTAAAGTTTATGACCTCAACTAAATATGATTTGTGATTTTGTCGTATCTGAAAAAAATCGGTCCAATAGGAGCGAGAATTGGCCACAAAAAAAAAAAAAAATATATATCATGGTAAAATGAATAAGTTCTCAGATTCGTATCGTAGCTAAAAATATAGCAGCATACTTTTAGATGAAAGATATATAATTTTTATATTTTATAAAAAATTCAATAAATATTTAATGAAAAAGTTTAGGATATCATTTTTCATATAACTCCGTATGAGGAAAATTTAGATTTTAACATTGTACTAAATTACAATGTTTTTTTTGTTGTATTAATAACATTACAAGGAGTCAATTTCCTGATTAATATTTTCTGTGACACTAACAAACAATTGCAATAGAATTATTTTTTACTAATCATTTATTTCACATTGCATAGTGCAATTTTTAGTTATGTTATTTATGTTAAATGAAATTTTTGCTATCTAAATAGATGAAGTTCTAAATTGTTTGAATAATCAAAGTGTAAGTGAATATTGATATAATGTTTACTTTAATTTTTACAATATCAGCCTTATAAATTTATCTTTGATTGTTGAATAATACATTATTGAGTAATGTCAATGATTTTTGTTGGAAAATTTTTTATCATTAATTTAACCATTAAATTCAAGATTTTTTAAACAATAAATCTTTTTGTAAACATTACAAGAAATTAATTTCTTAAGCTATTTTTCCAAGTAGCGATAAATGGTGATTCATTTGTTGGGCATATCAACTGACCAATTTTTATATTATTATTTGTTTTTGCTTTTTTACCGATTGGCTCCATCATATTATTCCATAATAAAGTAGCAGCTAAAACAAAAAAAAAATTATTGAAAAAATGTGTTTTTTAAACTTTGAATATTATTATTTACTTTTTGATTTAAATATAGTTTAATATTTTTTAGATTGAATCTTTTGTAGTTACATAACACTTACATAAATATTTTATAAGCATATTATTAGCACTAAATAAGATATCCTAGAGAAAAAGTATTTGTATATAAGCGAACCTATTCTTTTTATTAAAAAACAGTCAACTAGAGATGGAACAAAACGTTTATTTAATTATAGAAGATAAATGGTCAGAACAAATTTTTTACAAGCATTTTAAAAACTTTAGTTGAAAAAGTTAAAATTTTGTACAAGAAGTTGCTATTTTTAATTTTAAGTTGCTCTTACTGTGAGCAGGTTAATGGTATAAAAAAATTTATGTAACTTAAGAAAGAGAAATACCTTAACTGTTTATACAGGGTGTTCAGTATGAAGGAAAAGGATTTCTATTGTTCTATTGTTTGCAACCATTTACCTGTTTTCTTACTAACTAAACACTCTGTGTATAAATTAACATTTTTTGATTCGTTCATATTTAAAAATGTTATTTTTTAAGAAAAAAAAAATTAAAAAATGTCAAAATAGTAATTTTGGGAAGATTTTTAGCTTCGATGCGAAGCTAAATGAAGTTAAGAAGACTTAAGTTTTCTTTATATTTCTTTTACGAAGGTATTGAATAATAAAAATTAATTTAGTATAACATATTATGAACACAAATTACCCAATGCATATCCTTTTTGACTAAGATGAAAACAATCGGATGCTAGGTAAGTTGTATCTTTTGTTTTCATTTTATTTAAAGGAATAGATACATTTCCAGTTATAGGTTGAAGTATTACAGTAAAATTCTCATTTCTTTTAAACTCGGGATTTTCAGCCTGGAACGCAAAAGTACAAGTAAATATAGGTACTTTATTAACTTTCTTAGAATAAATAACATTCACATTTTACCAACCAGCCAAAAACACTTATGTACAAATTAATCTGACAAGAACGAATTCGTTTTTGTAACTATGAACTAACTAGAACTATGTAAAACATAAATTGTTAAGTAAAGTACCTCAGTATTTTACTAAGTAAATGGTATACAGAGTGGAACAGGTCTAACTGACAACTCATATAACTTATGATCGACATAAAATATTATAATTTTTTTTAATCAACTTTTCAAATATAGAACTATATTTAAAATATTTTTTATGTTATTTTTCGCAATTATAAAAAATATTTTACAAATTAATGTTTTTATTAAAATTAATTTTAAGATTTGAAGATAACCATTTTATAGGTAAAGTTTAAAAGAAAAATTGTAATACTAAAAATTCTTATTTTAATTTTGTAGTTACGTTTTTACAGCATTTTATTAAATTTTGATTTTTTTTCGATTTTTATATGGTATCAAATGTTATTTTTTAATATATATTTTTTTAACTTTTGAGGGATACTCATTCAAAGTATCTTTATAAAAGTGATTTCCTAATCATTATTTCAACAAAATTAAGTTGGTTTATGAAACTTTGTTATATTTTTTTAGAGAGTTTAATGTTGCTATCATGTTGATAAATGAACAACTATGAAAGTTGATAAATTAACTTTTGATATTATCAAAAGCATTAATCTATATTCAACTTGAATGGCCATAAAAAATCTAATCACATATTCAACTCTTTCATTAAGGGCTTGTTATTATCCTTTTCTTAATTGACTTAAAGGTTATACGTGAAAACCATTGTATTGATAAAAGATAAAAAATTTGTCTTCTTCAAATCCTAGTATAAGTTTGCTTAAAAAATGACTAAGCGAATCATGAATAACTGTACACAAATAGTTTTTAATTATTAATGGTTTTATCAAAAATGCAATAATTATGAAATTATTAATTTACCGATTGTTTTCATCATTTACCGTTTGTATTTATTGCAAAGTGCGTCCAATCAAGTTATTAACTAAAAAATTGAAGAGTAAAAATATGAAAATTAAATATTTATGTACATCAGTTATAAAATGAAAATGTCTGTTTGTCTGTGATTGGCTTTCATATGAGTTAATGACAGAAAATATAGTGATTAGACTGAATAAAATAATATAGCTTTCAAAAAACAATTTTTGCTTATTTATAAAAAAAATTTATTCAATTAATAAAAAATCGTGCTATTATGATGAGGAAAAAACTTAAATTATAAAAAACTGTAGCACAGTGGGACAGTTGGGACAATTATCTGATATTGATTAAAATGATAATCATAAGAAACACTTCGATGCAAATCTGAAGATAGTGTTTAATTTTAAGAAATTGGTGGATTATTCCAAAAGCAAAATTAAATCCAATTTCCTTCATTATTCCTAATTAGTTTTATTAGTTTTATATGTTTTATAAGTATAATACATGAATAAATATCTATTATAGCAATTCAATGTATTATGAAATTGGTATAAAATAATTTTGTATTGTAATTTTCATGGAGATATTATAAAAAATTATAAAGTAGTTGTTATTAAGTCACATAAACTTTAATTTAACATATGTTTGATGCTCGAAGTATGTCTGGAACATTTTCAAAAATAAAGTTGAAAAAGTTTACTTGTATGAAAAAATTGCTATTTTGAATCTTACCCTCTGGTCAGATATATGGTTAGATATTTAAAAAATTTACACCAAATCAAAGGGTAATACCTAAGATAATTATATAAAACCAATGATTTTGTTTTGTTCATTATTAAAATAAGTTATTGCCATTTTAAGAAAAATAAGTTGAAAAAATGTCAAAATTTACAGATTTTAAAAATAGTAATTTTTTCCTCCATTTAAGGGGAACGAGGGAAAATTTTTAATTTTTAAAGATAATGTTGGCTAGATATGATATGTGTTCTCTTGACATTTCGACAAAAAAAATCGTTCCAGTGAGGGCTGAGAAAAAGTGGCAACAGACACAAAAAAAAAACACATCATATTAAAATTAATACCTTCTTAGTTTCGTGTTGAAGCTAAAATTAGTTAAAATCTATTTTTCTTTAATATACAACGTATAAAAATTTAATGAGATATTAAAAATTTACAGAATAAAAATAAGAAACATTTTGTGTTTGACATCTGATTATACCTCTCAATTGATCAAACTCAACAAAATAAAATTTAATCATTTCATTTAACAAAATCAAATTTCAACAAATACTGGAAAAAATTTTAACTTCTAAAATGTATTAAATAAGAAGCAAATTAAGTCAAATAAAATATTATCTTCAAATAAGACATACACTTGTCTAGCCAAAACAAATTCGACCACCACCATTACTCTACCCACTACTCTACATAAAAAAACCAACAGACATCCAAAGGAATTTACTGATTCCAACCTATTGAAACAATAAACCAGTTAACAAATGAAGGTGACACCTTTATAACGTATAAGGGATGAATTGAAAAAATATCTACTAACTAATATAACATTTAATAAATCGAGAAATAAGTAAAATTATGATTTCCAGAAAAATTGAGGCTGGTCGAGTGGGTGATTCAATATGTGACTACCTTCTAGATATGCTAGGGAAAATTGTCGAAAAACTTTAAAAAAATGACTATAATCTCTCTTAACAATGGTGATCGTATAAGGCACAATATTACACTTCAAAAGTTTCTCTATCATAGACTTAACAATGGCATCTTTATCATTAGGAGGCACACTGAATTGGATAATTCAAACATTATATAACTTAAACTATTTTTGAACATTGAAACATTGTTTAGAATTTTATCACGTGGTAAATAATTTACTTGTTACTCAAGAATTTGACTCTAATAAACATGGTCTTCCCTCCAATATAAATAAAATAGTTAAAACATACACCAAATAATCACCGAAACCACAAAAAATGGAACAGGCGAAAATTTAAACAACTCTTTAAATTAAAAATCCCTGATAGGATAAGGAGTGTAAATAAGCAATTAAAAAAATATAAAAGTACTTAACCGTTTGTGAGTACAGCTCGTCCGCCTACTTTTCATACCTACTATATGTATTAAAATGTTTATAACTAAGTAAGTACTTACACTTAAATTGTTTAAATTTAAATCAAAATTCATAATGTCCACGATGAAATATCATTCAACTTTAACAATATAAAAACATTCGAGCATATGTCAGCAATTCCCCTCTGTTTAGAATAAGATCACTCAAAATAACTCTAATTTCCGGATAATAAATCCAAATTATCAACTCTCTTAGTATCACAGAACTTGAGTCATTAATTTAATCATAATTGGACAATATTTTATAATATGTAATAATTTTAATAAAACGTAAACATAAGAATGTTCAGTAAGTAATAAAGCGAATTTTTATTGTTCTCATTATAATATAATAATTGACCTGTTTCCTTTATTTTTGAGCACTCTGCATAGTAGGTTAAAGAACATGGTTATGAAGCTTATACATACATTAAAAAATAAATAATCTGCGAAAATAGAATGAATGTATTTTAATATTAAAAATTGATAATTTAATGAATGAATAACAATAATTCAGCAAATATTAAACTATAAGACTAAAAGAAATTTCTGACTTCCTACATTAGAATATATACTACAATTACTAATCAACTAAAATAAAAAAAAAATTAAGAAAATGTGTAGTATACCCTAAAAGTTTATTTATAAAACAAGCTTACGATTTTTTTTTCAACTTCTTTGATTTTTTCAATAACTTGTGAGTAAAGAATTTGCTTTGATTTAAATAACTTATTCAAATAACATGGACATTCCAAAATATTATTAATGAAGTGACATTGTTGAGGCCTTTTCATGTTTAGAAAAAATGTATCCAAGTCTAAAAAATATATAAATGTAAATTTTATGTGATATTGTAGTTGGACATTTAGATTTAGACATTTTCTTTGTTATAAAAATTGTTGGCAATAAATTATTACATCAGATTAGACAATTTTTAAGCTAAAAACTTAGTAGTTTTCGTTCAATAGCAATGTTACCATATATAATATTTTTACATATAATTATTCATATAATCTTTGATAATAACATAATTAATATTTTAAAATAACTCGTGTGCCGAATAGAATTAAATGGTGACATAGTGTATAACTAATTGGAAAAACCTTTAAAAGAATTGGTTTTAGTAGGGTACTCTAGCGGGATTTTTAAAACAAATAATTTGAGGTTCCGGTTAAGTTCTGAGTTCTTTATTTTCTTTATCGCAAATGATTTTTAATCGTTTCTTAAAGGTTTCTTTTAAAACCCTGATATAAATACACTTTCGACTAATATGCAAAAGCTGATAAGCCACAAAAAATGTTTTTGAGAGTTGTTAAAATTTGTATAGAAAAGAATATTTTATATTGTGTGCTAAATAATTACAAGTTAAACTCATAGATTGTCTTTTACACTTTAAAAAGGTTTTTATAAAACAATATTAAAATTTTATAATAGTGATGAAAAATTGATTAAATCAGCTTTTAGAAAATATCCATAGAAATATATACTGCTTGTCTTATTACAATTAAAATAATAATTATTTATTTGCAAAACCAATAATCTAATTATATGAAAAGTTCTCAAATATACTATGTACATTTCATAGAAATTTGAAAATATAAGTACAAAAAGTTCAGATTTTTATTTAAAAATGACATAATAAATAATATATTCTAAAATACACTTACTAATAGTTGATAGGAGATGAACCATAGTCCTCGGTAAATTATTTTTTATAAATTGAAGTGATTTCATATATTGATTTCTAAAATTTCTTATGAATGTTGATATATTAGAACTGATACAAACCCCGCGACAAATAGTGTTTGCACCAATGTGAATAGTAATAAGCTAAAAACAGTAATTTTATTAAAGATATTCATTTTTGTTTTATTATAATTATTTGATCATTATCATTCGTACCTTCCAGTCTTGGTTAAAATTAACTTTATTACTCATTTTCATACGATTTATAAGATTTTCTGTCATAGGTAGTAAATCATCAATTTCAGAAGCCGCTTCCGCGGCATTAAATTGTTTTTTAATGAATTTCGACATTGATGTACCAAGAGCATAGCCGAACAAATTAGGATTGAATTCTTTTATTATATTTGGTATTGTTAAATATTGTCTCCATGATTCATGTCCTCCTATAAAAATAAATATGATTTAGTACACTGAATATTAAATTATATACACATAATTTTAATGTCAGTCTTCCGGTATTTTTTAAGACAAATATTGTTTTGATCATATTTATGTTAATTAGATTTTTAACATTAAATTATCTAAAATTTTTATCACTTATGTTGTTTTAATTCCCTTCTAATGTAAAAGAAAAAAATACCTCCTATCCAAGACACTCCTTCCTCTGGAATAAATATTTCCAATAAAGTGTTTGTAAATGTTCCCATCCCAACAGCTAGTGAATCACCTATTGCTCCAATAACATCTATATCTCCCGGTCTTAACTGATGTACACTATTAGGTCTTTCTATTGATCTAGTATTATTCGTATCACATGGAAATTTCATTTCTTTTGGAAAAATTGGTTGCATTCTCTGGATTTAAAATTTAATTTTAAATAAAAAGATTAGAAATAATAATTATTATCTTGAATCATAATTACATTCATTTTTCGTAACAATTCAGGATTTCTAGGTAATGTGGAAAATATCCTATTACTTAGAGGTGAAACTATGTATTTGAAAATTTTTACCCCAGGAGAAAATTTGTTATTTGAAGTATCAAATAGTTCATAATCTGATTGATTAGTTTTGTAATTTATTGCTACAATATATTCGATTGCACTTAAAATAAACATCCAGACTATAAAAATAATTTATTACAACTCATTATGAAATATGTTAAATTTTAAATATGTTTAAAGGACACCATAACACATTTAATACTACTTCTAAAATTTTTTTTTGAGTGAAAAATTGATTATTTTATTGACGAGTAATTGTTTTGACAATTAAAAAACAAAAATTAGTTTAAATATTATTTTAATTTAATTGTGTAGTACTTAAAAGTTATTTACGAAATAATGCACGTAGAAATGTCTTCATTGTCAATCTTTTCTCAAAACTTTATTTTTTACCAATTGCTTAATTTTTAAAATAGTATTGAGTGTTTAAAAATGTATAAAGAAATAGAGAAATCTTATATTTGAGCTTAATATTTTTCAGGTTTAAAATAATTTAATAACTTAAAATTTTTTAATGAAAACACAATTTTTAACTGTCTTACAAATAAATAAGTCACTGTTCGATAACAACTATTGAATTAATATTTTAAGAGATGTCAGCGTTTTTATATCAAGTCGGTATGACTAAAGTGGCTAATAAACACCTTGAAATAAAAATTAACAATCCCCTTCCTTAATTTCGAGTTATTATAATAAAATGTTAATGACTTTCCAAAATACCGATTTAAAAATTGTGGAAAATCGACAAATTTTTTAGGTAGATCACTTTCTTATTTTTATACTAGTTAATATATTTCTTTAAAAAAAATAAAAGTTGATATAATTTTAAAGGAGTAGAAAAGGATCAATTTTTTTTGAAAATTTTAAATTACAGGATAATATTCTACATGCTATAAGTTATCTGGATCCTCTAACAAAAACCTAAATATATCATTAAATTTTTTCATCATTTTCAGTTATAATGTCTTTATTCCTTTAATGAATTCACATAAGTACTAGATATTTTTTTAAATGTTAGTATACATAAAAACCTAATTTGTCGTTACTACAATCTGTTGCACTAATATTTCTAATTGTTTCTAATATATTGTGGCACCGTTACCATATTTCTTCATGATAACCATTTTTTTCTGTTTTGCTGATATACATGTCATACAATATACATACCACAAGTAAGATGGAAAAATTTTAAATCTGACCAAAATTTCACCCGCTAAAAGTTCATGCGCATTGTTTTTAGTAAGATATAATTTTACTTTGTTCATCACAATTTTGTTTAAATTCTATGTTAATTTTTGTAGTTTTCATTAATTACGTGGTATATAAAGATTGTTTGTAATGATTATTAAATTTTCTTTTGTTCCTGTGTTGTTTCGAATAATAAGTACATTTATGAAGTATAATTGTGAATATATCTAAGTTTTTATAGTAATTTTATTATTTAATTTACAAATGGGACTAATTTTCTGGTAAACTGCTTTTGAAGTATACTTTTTTTATACAATAAATACCGTGCCCGGTATAGCCGGGTACTCCAACCGTAATCAGTGACTTACCTGTAAGGACAGTCCGAAGGGCTTAACATTTCATAGGCTTGTGAGGCTCATTGACCTTACGTATAACCCAGCCGGATTTGAAGCAGAGTGTCATCTAGGCCTAGTATTATAACATAATTTAAAAACATTAATACAATGTTCTAGACTCACGTAAGAACAACATGGAAATATTTATTCAAATTTTATATTTTCAAAATGTATTAAGAATTTTAAATTGTTATTTGGGCTAGTTACTATCACGATTATTAAATTATTCTAGATTTTAATATTTTATTTAAAATCTTAGACTAAAAACCCATATTTTTAAAATTGAAATATTTTCAATCATCCTTAAGAATTTTCAGAAAATTTTAATGAAAATAAATGTTTTAAGCTTATATTACTAATAATGCTTAACAAAATTTTAGTTTTTTTGTGATTTAACATCACTCTGTTTGATAGCACTGATATTTTATGTATTGTTTTTACTGATGTTTTTTTATTCTCATATAAACTAATTATAGCATTAAATATGAAAATTAATTTTCATATTCTTTGGACATTTAATTATTACAATGACAATTATGGATAAATAATATTTTAAATTACAGTAAGTAATTCTTTATGATTATTTATAATTTCTTTTTTTCCTATATGAATGACCTTGGGTAACAAAAGAAATTGTGCAAAAGTTTCTTTATTAATTGGGACCAATACCATTTGAATAATAATTTAAGTTACTTTCTAAATTAATAAACCAATCAATAGAGTTATATATCTTAATATTAACATAAATGAATTTACATTAGATTAATGAAAAAATCAATAAATATTAAGCGTATGTGAAATATTATTTTTCAAACCTTGAAATAAGTTATTCATAAATGGAATAATAAAAGGCAATTGATGATATTACAATATTTTAAACTAAGAGTGAAAAACGTATTATTTTGCAATAAACACAACACGTGATTTATGAACTGTTAATAATAAATTATGTTCTCCTTATAATATCTACTATAAATATTTACGATATTTGCTTTTCTCCCATTTAGAAATTGTGGCTATTGTATTAATATTAAAAGTTTACTCACAAAGCATTTTACAATCAATTGTAAAATTGTAAATTGTAAATTCCATTTGTATCAGAATTGAGAAAAAATATTTTTTTTTTTAATAAATAATTGGTTTTAATCTTTTTAAATAGGATTAAAATGTTTTAAACATGATATTATGTTTTAAATTTTATTTATTCAAGTTTAAAAAAACCCAGCAAAGGGGGGTCGTGGCACAGTGGTGACGTGGCATAGATGGATCAAGTATAATGATATCTGACAGTGATTAAAATCACTATAAAAAAAAAACGCTTCGATGCAAATCTTTAGATAGTGTTTAATTTTAAAAAATTGGTGGATTATTCCAAAAGCTACATGATCTGCTAGTTCATTATTAATATCCTAATTAAGATAAAGTATGTCGAATGAAAAAGGGATTATTAAAAAATATTATTTCTTATAAAAAAATAATGTTGATCCATACACTTTTAAATATGTCATAGCATTATAAAGTTAAAAATGTAAAAAATAAAATCGAAAATTTTCACACAAAAATAGCATTCGGTAGCCATTTTCAGCGTGAAGATAAAATAAAGTCCGAAATTTTTTTTTACTATAATAAAGTATATTACATTAACTTCAATTTAAGATATATATAAAAGTGTCAGACCTTCCAGAACATTTTCAAAAGTTAAGTTCAAAAAGTTAATTTTTTGTGAAAAAGTTGTCATTTTAAATCCCACCTTGTGGGCAGGTTAAGGGTTAAATTTATAAAAAAAATATACCAAAATAAAGGTAATGATATTATAAATTTATATAAAAAAAAATTATATTGATATGTTTATTTTTGAAAAAGTTATGGCACTTTTAAGTAAAAAAAATTTTAAGCAATCGTTTAAAATGATAGTATAAAAATATTAAACAAAACGGTGTTTAATTAATTTAGATGTTTATAACATGTTTTAATTATAGAGCTTAAAACATAATGATTCACATATCTCAACCTTGATTTTCATGGTATTTTAATAAAAAAATTTGTGATATTTATTAAATTAGACTATTTAATATTTAATTAAACATTTTTAACTAATATTTTAAGTATATTTGAATTGACAAAATGTCTTATAATAATTGTATAAGTTACTTTTACTAGTTAATCCTTAATATATAATGAAAAAGCATTTTCAGGTCACGAGACGTTCATTTCAAAATTTTAAAACGATTAATTTATATGTATTTTCTATTCATTAAGTACCTATAGTATTAAGACTCATTGACAGTCTTTTTGACTATATAAATATTAGTACAAGTAGGTACAGTTAAATACGAAAATAAACAGTAATTTGGTACGCATATTTCACACAAACAGATGTTTTAAATATTATAATAATACTCATTATGATTCAAGGTTATTGAAAATACTTAATTATATTGAATATTTTGAATGATTCGGAAATAATAAATAAATTATTTTTTGACTATTAAATAAGAGCTCTTGAAACTTTTAAGTCATTAGCAAATATAGTATAAAACATTAGTGAGATAGTATCATCAGCAAAGGAAAACATTTATAAATCAACAAATGATAAATAGTGATGATTTACTATTTACAAATTTATATGTTAGGATTACAATCAAAATATGAAGATGAGATTGAAATCAATTATAAGCCACAAAAAAATATCCTAATGCTTTGAAAAAATATCGATATTCTTTTAAAAAAACTTTCATTTTAATATCACATTTAAATTTGAACTCATTCAAGTATGTCAAAATTTAATTTTTATTGTCTTAAAATATAGTCGGAAAATGGACAATTTATTTTTCCCCCAATTACAGAGAACGAGGGAAATTTTTACAGGATAATAGGGTAATGTTTTCGGCTAGATACGATTTGTGGTCTTTTGACGTATCCTTGTAAGAAATCGGTTCAGTGAAAGCTGAGAAAAAGTGGTAACAGCATAGAAAAAAAAACCTCATAGTAAAATTAATACCTTTTCAACTTCGCATCGAAGCTAAAAAATTATGTTTTTGATTGTATTATTGATTGTTATCCATCAATGTATATTAAGAACAATCTAAATATTGTGATCTCTAATCTTAGACAACTGGTAGAGATGGTTTTTGTTTTCATTATGAGTTAATATTTCATTATAATCTTGAATAACTTTAACGCCTCTCTCTGCTATATCGTTTTTCAGTGAGAGATGAGAAAAAGTATGTGCTTTAGTGGAAATACTAATGTATTGTTGGAGTGGAAGAGGCCTCCTTTCTAACACCCAATCGAAGTAAATGACGAAGCACTAACTAGTTATTAATTAAGTAAATTAAATGATCTTTAAATCAATCTATTGCTTTACCGTTATTTTCTCAGATTATTAATTCTAAATAATTGTGTTAATATCAATTTAATTACTTTGTGTTATAATTTCAAAATGTTTTATGACGTTAAAAAAATAACTAACGTCTTTTTCAATGATTGCTTTATAGATTTCCAAATTTTCAGAAAAATAGATAAATGAATTTAGTTAGTTTGAGAAAATAAACTGGATAAAAGTATCCTGAATTCTATATTGAATTTAGAGCTTCAAAAGTCGAAAATAGCCGCTCGCTCACCGGCTTGCTAGCTGACGGATGTACAAACAAAACTAAACCTTTTTATATTATTTTTAATTACCTCCATCATGGGATGTAAGATTAGATGCATATTATACAATTATCAATTTAACATATATATATATGGAATAAATAATGTACAACAGTGTATATGTTATGACAAATAAATAAATAATTTGTTTGTATACAAGTAATATAAAATACAAATATTAAATTTTCCATTGATAAATGTAATATGCGTATTACAAGACTTTGGGCATATTACGACATCAATTTACCCTATTTATTATTATTATAAAAATATAATGCAATCTTTACAACCATACTTATCTTGATATTCAGATTAACTCG